TTGTTCTAATGTAAGGGAAGGGAGTCTTGAGAATTCATATCCATTAAGATTTGATAATTGTTGGTGTTTCTCATTCCTTGCTTCTTATGTAGAAGTTTTCACTGTAATTATCTTTTTGGGTTTTTTATTTGGATGAGTAAAGACAGAGTGTAAGCTGTTATAGAAAAAAGGTAAGTTAATTTTGTTCTGAGTTAATGTTCCAAAGAAAGTGGACTCTGAGAAGCAACAAGATCTTCAACAGATAAGAAAGAGCTATTAGTCTTAATGCATGATGTGACCTCTTTATCTGGGTCTAAGTTGTTACAATTCCTTGCTAGTTAGCAGTTCATGTGGGCGTCCTGTCTCAAGATGGGACCCTTTAACATGTATTGTGTTGACCTGAAATTGTCCACACCTAGCTGCAGGGGACTTTAGAAAATGTGGTCTTAGCTGAGCAGTCATGAGATCACCTAACACGCCGTTACTAAAAGGACAAAAGAGGAAAGGAATTTCTGGAGATAATTAGCAGTCACATTAATGTCCTATGTAATATTGAATGAGAAGTATTGGGATGAAGGTACTTTGCTTTTTTTTACTCCTTTTTTATCAGTAAACCTCAAGAAGCAACAATAAGACCTAATGGGAAGGAACAAGCATGACCCAGATAACCTGAGTGTTATGTATTCATTAAATGGTATTTGGGATTATTACAGTCTGGCATGAGAAGCGAATATAACATCTATTTAAATGCACTAGGGGGAAATGTAGCAGTTCTTCCATTCAAGTGGAAAATGTACAGAGACTCAACATAGCATTCTTTGATAGGATGTTCAAGGAAATCTAAGTTCATCTCTGGGAGGGTAAATACTCATCTAATCACCCACAGCCCTCTCTTTAGAGGGCTCCCTGGGCTTGTATTTGTGAAAGCAAGGTGTGGCATGAGCTAATTCCCACAGCTGCATGCTACATCCCCCTGGGCTTCCACTGTCCCTGCCTGTATCTCTCTGCTGCATCCACCTTAATGGCTTTCTCTGCTTCTTACCTCTGCTCCCCCTCCTCTGCATTCACTTAAAATAGATTTCCTTGGGTTTTTTCCCCCCAACTTTATTTTTCCCAAGACTCTATTAGCACGATCCAGTTCCCCAGCTGACCACCTTCATGTTCTGTTCTTGTTGGACATATTTCTACTGCAACTGTCACACCACATGTGGTAACGTAGAACTGCATTTATCTACTTAGGTGTCACTTTTCTTTTATGAGACTGAGAGTTACCGTGTCTTCATTGTCTTGTTATCCCTGACACTCTGTTCCATGTCTAGAATATTTGGAGAAATGGTAAGGAGGAGTGACATAGGGTGAGAAGATGGAGAATGATGTGGTGGAGCAGTCAGCCTCTCCCCCCCCCCCACCCCTTACCCCACTTAAGACACAGCATCCATGCAAGGCAGCTAGCCTCTCACCTCCTCCCAGTGATTAATGTGTACGAAGAGCAAGGCTTGCCCCAGGCCACTAGGCAGAAACTCACACCAGTCAAAGTGACAAGTGCACTGGCATATTCATCTAAGGGTCCTGCTTCATCAAATCCACTTCAGAATCAGGAAGACGCTCTTGGCTACCTCCCTGCTGCAGACCATCTGGTCAGGTGGCAAAGTGCCCACTTCCAAGGTCAGTTTCTTTCTGCCCTGGACATTCAAGATTATGCTGCTGAGTAAATTTTCTCTCTAAACTGTCACAGGGAAGTCTTCAGAACCATCACTAGTCCCTCCCTTCTTAACTTTTCTACTTTATTTCTCAGCTAGATGGTAAGTCTACTTCTCTAAGCATCACTGTAATCTTCTAACTGCCCCTGAGGGCAATGGGATAGTCTGGGCGGACCAAAACAAAAGCACCCACTTCTCTTCCTTTTTCATAAGGAGAGTAGCAGTCAAATGTCCTGTTTCAAGGAAACACTAACTAGCTTTCTGGGATTATAGGGGTCTACCCAGTTGGCTTGGTGGATACTGATCCTAAATCGAACTACTAATTATAGGAATGACAGGCACAAACTCTGCCCCACAGCTAAATGATGGTTCCTTTTGCATTCAAAATATATCTTAGCCCTAACAGCAGAACTACAGGTGAGAAAAGAGGCTGCAGTGTGTATGTGCATGTCCTGTTTTGGGTTGGTGTTTGTCTAAAGGCTCCTTATATATCTGTAGACTAATGCTGTGATGATGAAAGGGCCCAGCAGCATGGAGAACACTGAAGATGGGCAGTCATGAACAGTTCTTTGCAAATGTGTGTCAAAATGAAAAGGACAGCCACATTGCAGAGTTCCCAGGGACAAGATGGGGAAAGAAACTAGTTTCCTGTGAAACTGGCATAAGTATTGTTATGTATGGTCAGTGCTTACTGTCAGACAAATTTGCTGAAACCATGAACAACTAAACACAGAGCAAATCTACTAGGGGATTTCTGTAAATACATTTTTAACTGCCACATTTTTGCCTATGTATTTGGGGATGAAAGAGAAGTTGAGATGGAGGGCAACAGAAGATTCACTATTAAGGCTATCTTCTCTATAAATCCCCCTTAAGCACTGCACCCTACAACGATCTTTCCTGATCCCTGAACGCCTGTCAGATATTGCATTTTACTATGCCCAATACTGATTTGCATTTTTGCATATCAACTTATGATGCAAGAAGCAGTCTCCCCCATTAGCTACAAGATTCTTGAGGACAGGACAGCTCTCACTTTTCACACTACGTGACTGAATATAACAGATGCTCAAAGTATTTTGTTTGTGTAATGCACCAGCAAATAGTCTCAAATCACAAACATGTATTAGACAGTATATGAAATTTAAGAAATAAATGTATTCCTGTATTAATGTTTTATGCTTGAATTCTGCAATTCCGACAAACAAGTTAGGTGAATATGTTGGGGAAAGGCGGGAGGCACTGTGAGAAGCAGGGTAAAAAAATACCCTGGGATTAAAATAAACTGGGTTATTCAAAATTTGCCAAAGCAGTGAAAGGCAGTTGGAGACTTTAGTGAATAATGAGAGCTGGAAGTGTAGTCTTTGATGGTCATTTTCTGCCCAGAGGCTCGCTTATCTTCCTTTACCACGGTGGGAATCTGGGGCCACCCTTGAGCTCCGCTAGCTCTCAGGTTCAAAGATGCCCGGAGAACGGTTTGCACGGAGTGGTCACGGCGGCTTCTTACCACCAGGGGGCGCAGACTCGCTCCGCTCCTCCCGGCGAGCGCTCGCTTTCCCAGCACTCCTCGCTCCGCGGACGTCGATCCGGAAGTAGTCGCCGGGGCCGGCCGGCCGGCCGCCGTAACACAAACCTGGCTGCTGAGCCCGGTTGCTCCGGCCGCCTTTACCTGGCCGAGGCTTCCGCGAGGCTGGCGGAGAAGACACCATTGAGCTCGCTTTCGTCGCGCCCTGTGTGGGCGCGCCCCTACTCCCGGCGCTGTGCGACCCGCCGCAGTCCCGCCCCAGTCTCAGCTTCTGTCAGTGTTTGGTGAGTGGGACCCCCCAGAACGCTCCGTGCCGTCCTCCCAGGGCAGCGAAGTGGCTCTCGACTGAAAAAGGTGAGCGATTTGCCTCGAGAGCAGCGTCTTTGGAAAAGGCCAGAGCGAGTGCGAGAAGCAGAGCTACCAATGTGGCTGGGGGACGTGGCCGGGACCGTGAATAGCACCCCATATTGCCTCGTATCCTGGATACACTTAATGCCCCAACCCCTAACTCGGAAGTAAAGTAGAGGTTGGCTGTCTAGGGGAGCCACCTGATCCTTGCAGCCATGAAGGCAGAAGAAACACCGTCCTCCTTACCGGAGATCCCAGCTGGGTCCAGCAGCGGCCTCAGTAACCTGCTGAGTAGCCGAAAGCTGGTGGCTGTGGGAGTCGTACTGGGCTGGCTTCTGGTCATTCACTTTCTGGTGAATGTGTGGCTTCTGTGCCTGCTGTCAGCCTTGCTGGTGGTGCTGGGAGGTTGGCTCGGACCAAACGCCATTGTGGGGGCTTCAGGTCGACTGCACCTGGAACGCTTTATCCAAATGACCACCTGCCCGCCAAATCCTCAGGCAGAGAAACAACTGGAACAAGAGATCAACTGCACCATCCAGATGATCATGAGGGATTTTGTGTCATCCTGGTACCGCTCTGTGAGCCAGGAACCAGCCTTTGAGGAAGAAATGGAGGCCGCCATGAAAGGGTTGGTCCAGGACCTCCGGAGGAGAATGAGCATGGTGGACAGTCATGTTCTTACCCAGAGGGTTCTGACTCTCTGTGGTTGTCACCTGCAGAGCTATATTCATGCCAAGAAAGCCACAGCAGGGAAACACAGTGATTCGGTTGAGCCATCCCAGCTCTGGGAGGCTTACTGCCAGGTTACTGCTCCACATCCTGCTGTACAAAACCCCAGTGCAGAGGTCACCTATACACGTGCCATTGTGGATATACTACTTCAAGGACTAGTGCCAAAGCCTCACTTGGAGACCCGGACTGGTCGCCATGTAGTGGTCGAACTCATTACTTGCAATGTCATCTTACCACTGATCAGCAAGCTGTCAGACCCTGACTGGATTCACCTTGTACTTGTGGGTATCTTTTCCAAAGCCAGAAATGACCCAGCAGAAGTTAAACCACTCTGCCTAGCCAGTAACCTGGAACAACCCTCAGTGCCCACATCTCTACCACTGGTGGCTGAGGCACAGAATCTGCCAGAGGCAAGAGCCCCTTCCCCGGCAGCAGTCCCGGTGCTTCCAAACTGTAGTGAAGCAGAGGGGCCTTCTCGCCCAGTTGTTGAAGAAAGCCATGACTTTGTGGATGGAGATTTGGGTGAAATGTCAGAAGAAAGAAAAATAGCAAGCAACTCATCTCATTTTCTGCAGCCAGATATTCGAGGCCCTCTATTTTTATGTGAAGACCCAGAGCTAGAGTCCCCATTGTGTGAACTGAGCAAAGAATCCATAATGCTTGTTACCCCAGGCAACTTCCTCTCTGACAGGATCCAAGACGCCCTTTGTGCCCTAGAGAATTCCCATTCTCTGGAATCTAAGGATGGTGAAGGATGTGAAGGAGCGGAAGGAACAGAGGCTGAGGGTCCAGAGACAGAAGCAGGCCTGCTGGTCTCCATGCTGAATTCCTGCCCTGAGATCCAGGTTGACACAGCAGACAAGGAGGTAGAGCACGGAGACGTTACATCTCTTTCAGATTTGTTGGCAAGTCCCGAAACAGCCTGCCCCACACGACCCTCGTGCTTAGAGAAGGATCTCACCAATGGTGTGAGTTCCCTTGATCCTAATCTGCCACAGGTTCTGCTTTCTTCCTCTCCAACCGGTCCTCTCAGCTCAGCCACCTTCAGCTTTGAGCCCCTGAGCAGTCCAGATGGCCCAGTTGTCATCCAGAACCTTCGTATCACTGGCACCATTACTGCTCGAGAGCACAGTGGCACTGGATTCCACCCCTATACGCTCTACACAGTGAAGGTAACAGGGTTAGAACTGTAGTCACCTGCTCTGTGCTGGGGATGGGTTTGGAAAACAGCAAAGCACGTGCTCTGAGAACTTTCTCTTAGTTTTCTGCTTAATTCAGCAGGCATCTGTGAATGGTCTGAAGCTCACACATAAAGCAATCATTTTATCTAATACTCTACCAGTATATTTTATCCATTATACAATTTTAGACTCTTAGAGTTGTTATAATACTGAGGGTCACATTTTCCAGTGGTTCCCAAACCTAGCTGCACCCCAAAGATCACTTGGGCTGCTTTTTAAATATATAGATGCTGATAGACTTGATTGATGCTAAATAAGAATTTCTAAGACTGGATCCTAACTAACATGCTATTATTTTTTTAAATACAAATCTTCAGGTGAGGATTTGGAGAAAGCCTATTTTAAAACCAGTTTTATAAAACTGCTGGCTCTAATCAAGCCAGCCACCTAATATACACCTCTCCTTCATATCTGCCAAGTGGTTCCCCCTTTTTTAAAAAGTGGCTTCTACTTTTAATATCTCTAGGAATAAGGTACTTGCTGCCTCCTGAGGTATTTAAAGGTAAATAACCTTCCTTCCTAAAACAAAATACAAAAAATACTACTGTTTAATTAAAAAAAGAAAAAAGTTAGCAGGGAAGATGTCTGAAAAGAGGGTTTCTGCATGATACTCTCTCTACATTGAATTTAACTTGCCTGCCCCATTTGGATTTTTCTCATTTTGAGTCCAAACACCAACCATGAACACACTTAGGTGCTGCACTCCCCCAGGAAAGTTGATGGTTCCACGGAAAGCCTCATAACTCATAGGCACATATGTGTCTTACCTTCATGTTTCCTTCTTAGTGCTGAACTGAGGGATTACTTGGCTATGTGTCAGATGTAATGAATCTGTTTATCTGTCTCCAATTTTAAAACACTAGCCACAACCCCATTGAGATCTTTCTTCCATCACTTGTCCATGATATATTTCAGCCAAACAGTGATAAAACCTGCTCCAGAAAAGCATAAAAATGGTTCTTCTACATCTCATTACATCTTAGTTACTCTATCCAAAAATTTTCCCCTCTACTAAGTTGCAACTTTCATTCTCAGAGAGAATTTACAGTTTTCCTGCATAATGCCCTCCAAACATGTGAAAACAGTGACCTTTTCTAGTCTCTCCAGCCTTCATGTGACTTCTGATCATACAGATGATTTATACTTACTGGGCAAAATGTCAGTTTAGCTCCAAGGATAATAAGCTGCCCAAAGTCGAATAGCACATGTCCCTTTAATGCACTCTAGGCAAACAAATTGTTTATTGGTTGTTTGGGGTGATTTTTTTTCTTCCTCCAACTGATAAAGTCTGCAAAATGTTTATCCCTTTAGAACATCTGAATTTTTATCATTGATGTGCCTTCTATTTTATACTGTTTTTAGATTTGAAAAGCAGTTATGTAGCTATTTTTATAAGTAAAGATTTTGTGGGAGGGAACTTAGAGATGAAAAGAGGAGTGCAAAGCAGTAAAATTCAGCTATCTTGGAATTTGAGTTACTCATTACAACTTAGGGCTGCAGTCAGCTAGCAAGTTCGGGAGTAAAATAGGAACATCTCCCTTCCATTACCTCTACACTGCTCTTACTGTGGCCATTGAACTGATGCAGTAAACGAATGTGTTCATTCAACAGTACGAGACAGCCCTTGACAGTGAGCACAGCAGCGGCCTGCAGCAGCTGGCCTACCACACTGTAAATCGCCGCTACCGCGAGTTCCTGAATCTGCAAACCCGCCTAGAGGAGAAATCAGATCTGCGGAAGTTCATCAAAAGTCAGGACTTTCCTCAGCCCCACATTGCTTTCTTGCTTTTCACATCTAGCCACCCTGGTTTGGGAGACTGTGGGGCCTGTAGGTTTGTGGGGAGGGATGGAAGAGGAGAATGCAGCATCCGAGGCTCTGTGCTCCCCCAGTGGTTTTCAGGTGTTTGGGGTTTTAGTATTGGAGAGCACTGGGTAATTCTGAGGTGCCCCACTGCCACTGGGGTCCTGTCTAGCTTAAGCTTCAGAATGCTTTCACATTTCCACTGATTCCTATAAAGCAGTGTGAGAAGTTAAACGAGTATTTCTAGACTCATACACTGATTACTCTTAAAAATGAAATTATCCAGAAATACTTGTCACCTTTCTTTAGCCACCAGGGGTGTGTGTGTGTGTATGTGTGTGTGTGCACGCACTATTTGACACCAGTAGGCTCAGAAATGGTAAGAAAACATAATAAAATTTAATTCTGAAAATAAGCTAGGAAGGAGCTGCTTTGTTTTTAAAAGTGCTGATAATCACTCAAATAAACATCTAAATAAGTCTAAACCTAAATTATGTACTTTAGTTATACATTTTCTTTCTTAATACCAGCAGCTAATACTGAGCCAAACTTGAGCATATAGGCCACGTTTTCTTCTTAGCATTGTACACATAATGGCTTATTTAATTCTCATAACAACTTGTGAGATAGGTATTACCATTATTTCACTTTTATAGGAAAAATGAAGTTAAAGATTAGGTAACTTGCCTAAGGTCATTATTATGGTAGGGGTTGAATCAAATTATACACATGGGCAGCTGTAATTTAGACTCTCCCATAAGCACTGTAATATGTGGCCACTTATTCCTTATATTGTCATTAAATAATTAAAATAGGCTGTATGAATGGAGTATGTTTGGAACTCCTGAACTATTAAGTCCCAAGGAAATATATTCAACACCTCTGCTTTCCCTACCTCTATGATGGTTGTTTACATAGAATAGTTCTCAGTGACTGTTAATGATTTTTTTTTTTAAGATGTGAAGGGTCCTAAAAAGCTCTTTCCAGATCTTCCATTTGGAAACATGGATAGTGAGAGAGTAGAAGCCCGTAAGAGCCTCCTGGAATCATTCCTAAAGGTTAGAGTTTGTTTTGACTCTGCCTTCATTCTAATCACCACATATCCAAGCTGACGTAGAGGGATCTGGGGATTTGAATTTCTCTTTGAAGTTCTTCTTATATCTTTTGCAGCAACTCTGTGCCATTCCGGAGATTGCAAATAGTGAGGAGGTGCAGGAGTTCCTTGCTCTGAACACAGATGCTCGTATTGCCTTTGTCAAGAAGCCTCTCATGGTCTCCAGAATAGACAAGGTACAGCAGGGCCTTGTGCTCAGTTTTAATTTCTCATCAAAATGGAGCTAGTGCTTGAAAAATAAGGAGGGACCTTTCAGCTGTTGAAACGGGTTAGGATGCTAGCCAAAGCTGCCTCAGTGCGAGTTCTATCCCCAGCCCTGGAGGTGACCCACATGGCGTGGCAGACCTCTCCTGTCTCGCCCACTGCTCCTCTCAGCAGTGTACTTCATCGATCTGCCTGACCTGCTCCCCACTCTGTGCTCTGGTGAATCCTCTCACCGCCCCTGCACCACTGGCCTATGCCCCAGTTCTGTATGGGTACATAAGTAAATCTTTAAAAAAAAAAAAAAAGGATTGTGGTGTGTAGGGATAGACAGCAAGAGAAGTCAAGAGACTATGGACTGGAATTTTCTTTTATATATATATGTGTGTGTGTAAAATTTCTTTATTTGTATATGTTTTACATCAGATGTAGTCCCCATAGTGGACTGGAATTTTCAGTACCTCTTGTTAAATATTGGTTGGACCACCAACTTGCTGAACTACAGTGAACAGCTATGAGGACACAATAAGTGGACATATATCTATACACCCTGGGACTATCAAGGCATTGTTATTCTAGAGAAGGATATGAGGACATATCTTACCTCCATAGATAAGTCTCTTCTAGAGATGAAGGACACTCTTAGCACTGGTCACTCAGAAGGAGGGCCCAGATAGGACACTAACCTGTGTTTAGATCTGCTGGAGAACAGTGCGGAGAGAATTTATCCTCTCCAAGAATTTCCAAGGCAGAAGTCCAAGGTTTGTGTTTATCAGAAGACGGCACATGTTTGAAAAGGTTAGGAAACACTGACTCATTGGTAGAAGAGGGACCTCCCTTTTCTCATTGATTTCGAGATAAAATGATAAAGTGCCGTTTCATGTAATAGGAGTAAGGAGACATACTATTTTTTTTTTTTTTTAAGATTTATTTATACATACAGAACTGAGGTACAGGCCAGAGGTGTGGGGGTGAGAGGATTCACCAGAGACAGAGTGAGTTGCAGAACAGGCAGATGGACTGAAATACACTGCTGAGGGGAGCAGCAGTAGGCAGGACAGGAGAGGTCTGCCACGCCATTTGGTAGGGATCGAAGTCATGCGATAGCGGCTATGATAGCTTCATAGTGTGCTTGAACCCATTGTGCCACCAAAGAGGGCCCAAGACATACACTGTTATGAGGGGGAAAAAAAACTAGAAAAGAATGCCCTTAGAAAATCCCCAGGGTTCCATGAAAATGTGTTTATCCATGCAGGTGTATTCACTCATTGAGTCAATGTCAACTTATGAGATGCTGTTTAAATCCATGTAGTACACTATTGCTTGTGAAATCAGCAGTTAAGGACCCTCCACAGTCTACCATTTTGTGAAACTGGAAAGCAAGTGAATATCTACATTCATGCCATCCTTTGTTACCCCTCATTCTTAACTGTTGCCTTTCTGGGCCATTTCAGCTTTGTCTTAGCTTTGCTGGCTGTGCTTGTAAAGGAGAACACAAGATGATTAGAGAATGCAGGGTACTGAGTTTGCTTCAGAAAAGCAATTACTATTAGGAAAAGAAACCAGAGGGAAAGTAAATGTTTCTTCTGTTTCTTTGATATCTTAGGATATTAGTTGCTTGTATATTTTCCTTTCCAACAACTTTTGACATTTTCCCAATTTGAAAATTAGTGATAATTTTTACTCTTCAATGAGGTTGGTTTTATGTAATCTTTATGAATACAGTTTATATCAGTCAACTCCAGATTGCTTAATTTTGACTTGCATGGATTTTGTTGTTCTTGCCGTCTTGATGAAGATAAATTGTTCGAAATACTAGAAAAACCAGTTCATTATTCCGGGTAAATTTCTTTAGCATGGTGTTATTTATTACTTGGACTATATTTCTTATTTTAATAATCAGTTAATAAACTGTCCCTTTTCTCTATACATTTCTTTCTCTGTTACCCCTTCTTAGTCACATCTAGGGGAAAGTATTATCAATTTCAAAAGTAAAACTCATTCTTTTATATAAAAAGAAACTGAAAATGAAAGTTACTTCATTAGCTTGCAGAACTCCCAGATTTCTGTTTATCCCATTGTTTGCCTTCTTTCCCCATGGTACTGTGTGTCATAGTTCTGTGAGGAGGGGGGCTTTCATGGCCACAGAGAAAGGATCAGTGCCACTAAATCACTGACTAGTGTCTGTCCTGGTAAGACTCTGCCTAGATAATGTGGGTATCTCCTCATCTTGACAACATAAAGCACTGAGACAGCTTCTCACTAGGTGGTTCCTGTCTGACTTTGTATCTCTGACACTCGCAGATGGTGGTGAGTGCTATTGTGGACACCTTGAAGACAGCATTTCCTCGCTCTGAACCCCAGAGCCCCACAGAGGAGCTGAGTGAGGCGGAGACAGAAAGCAAGCCCCAGACTGAAGGCAAGAAGGCTAGCAAGTGAGAAGCCCTCAGTCACCCAGGACCCTTTCCAGTTCTCAGGTTGATCTCTGATCCTCAGCTACAGCCCACCCTTACTCTCAAGCCCTAGAAGAAGGATGGCTCATACACATCAGTTTTTATGCAAAGCAGACCACATACTCAGTGTTCCACCCAAAGATCCTGATGTTCTGCAGAGGCAGCCCTGATCAATGTTTGCTTTTGTCATGGAACCCAGAGCCCAAACTGATGAGGGAATTTTGACTGGGAGGAAAACTCTGGAATATGGAGGGTCTCATTTTCTTTTTTCCTGGAAAATTAAGATATTTCTTTACTATTATGACTTAAGTCTTATGACTAAACTTTGCCATTTTCTCTGGAAATCTTGACTCTGAAATAGCATGTATTCGCAGTAAATAGGAAAGGGCTAGTATGGATCCCTGTGGGGCCTGTTTTAGTAACTGGTTGGCTGTTCCACTCTCTCCTGCATTAGGATCCCAGAAATAGCTTCCAGAGCCAACAGGAGGAGGGAGAGGAAACTACATTTCCCTTCCTGTAAACGTTATCTGTATCTGGGCCATTAGGAAGACAGAGTATATGCGGGAGCGGCTGTGTCTGTATGAAAGTTTACCTAAATGACTGGCTGTTTCTGTCTCTGTGTTTGTATTTCATGGGCTAGCAATAACAGACTCAGTTCTTAGTCTTTTTTCCCCTGGGTGCACATTTTGAAGAATTACCATGATGCCTTTGTGTACGAAAACAATATTCCTTGAAATACCGAAGTTAGTACTTGCAGCCTCTTCTCTGGGTTTATTTGGAATAATAGGGAATAAACAGATGTGCAGAATGGTCCATCAACTTCAGAATGTCCTGGTATTTTAAATCTTCAACATATTAGTAATAAGTGCAAGCTGTGTTCTAGCTACTCTTCTAACCTGTAGAGATAGAACCATAACACAAGTAGACCTTATTTTACACTAGCAAAAATCCTTTTGCAAATGCACTATAAAGTAACTTAATGCAGAAATTGCACTGTATGAATAAGAGTTGCCAGAATATATATTATTAGGGTGGTTTCAGAACCAGGTCTCTCCTGACAACTTTGACCATTGTAAACTCACATAAATAAGCATGCGTGTTGTTATTTTAAGGTATTAATACTGGCCAGCTTTTTATGTTGGGTTCCAGACCATGAACTACATTCTGTGTTTGCTCTTATTTCTGTACCAGGTCCAGATTGAGGTTTTCATCCAGTAAAATTGCCCCAGCACTAAGTATGACTGACACACATGAAAAGATTCTCTACTGTCTCCAGGATGGCAATATGGTAAGACATTCATGGGACATTCATAAGTGGACTGTTGCTTCTACTCTTAAAGCCATTGAGACCCCAATCAGAGAGGATATCAGTGATTTGCTACAAGACTTACCAAAGTCTAGATCTCTAATTTTAATTTGAACATATTTTTGCTGAGTGGTTTGGAATTCCTACTGGTTTTGGGTTGGGTTTGGATAATGGATGATAGAATGAGATGGAAAAAGAACAGATGACTCAAAAGTATTTAAAGCATATTGAATGCAAATTGATTTCTTTACAGTGTAGGTAAAAAAAAATAACAACAATAATAGAGCTTTCCTAAGGCTGTTACAGTTAGCAAGAAGAAATGGGAGAAAGCTGGTCATGAATCATTTGCTCTCCTTCTTCTTGCATTCTTTGTGTGATGCACCACTGGCCCTTCCTGCAGGAGTCAGAGGTCCTCTCCATGTCTGGGATGGAATCCTTTATTGAAAAACAGTCAAAGTTACTAGGACTGCAGCCAGAAGATACCCCAGAAAAACTTCCTCTACAGATTCCCAAAGACTGCGTGGATGGTTACTTACCAGCTACAGCTGTGCTAACCCAACATTTCAGCAGTAGTGATCCAGGTAAATGACAAGATCTCTGCTCCCACAGAGAAGGGAGCCCAGGTACTGTCTACTTGGGACTTGTGAGGGCTGAGATTCAACACGTATATTTCTCTTCCATTCAACTAAACAAGCCATGTGTTAAATATCAGTGCCTGAGTTACTGTGCAGACTGCTGAGATATAAAGAATATGACACAGTCCCCAGAGCTGAATCATGGAGAAAGTAGGGCACAAAAACAGGGAGTTCTCGTACAGCAAGATAAGATCCATGCTTATAATGTCTTCACCTGTAAATTATTTCGACATACCTTTGGGGTATGTGAGAACTGCTGAGAACTTCCAATAGTAACTGTGGTACCCCTTTCCTCATTTTCTTTCTGTACCTCTTATGATCCCTTCTCAGGCCCCGGTTGACTCCCTACCCTAACTTTCTAGAGGTTTATTTTGGGCTCTTTGTTCTTCCTGTGCACTCTCTCTCGGTGGTCTTTTCTGTGCTGTTGGCTTCAGCTCTTAACATGTGTTGTTGGTGATTTGGATATTAATAACCATATTTACTGAGCTAGACTTTATGTAAGGATAAAGTTTTTATAGGAAGAAAGGTTTTCTTTATTTCTACTAAGGCCCATGATGAAAATAAAGGATCAAAATATTGTGATGTCAGAAGGAGGGAGAGTATGATTTCACTGTTGCTTCTCATGTGCCGTAGACTTTAATTTAAATATGTGAAAAATAGAATTCTCTTCACACATCACACTTCGTAAGTAAAGGAAGTATGAAGACAGTGAATGCATCAGAATCATAAGGAATTACAAATTATTAGGTGGGATGAGAAAACAATGTAATTGTCTCCATAATCAAGCCTATAAATGTGAACATTATTATCTCTGAAAGGATAGTTTATAGCTGAGCCCTTCTAATTCTGTTCTTATGCTAGAAAATTTACCATTTTCTTTAAGCGGTACATTGTTCAGCCCATAACTTGCCTAAATCTGCTGCCTACAACATTTCTGTGATATTTTTGGAGGCGAGGGAAATACAAGCATGGATGGGGTTAAGGACAAAAGAGTGGGCCTTTACAGTTCCAGTTAGTCACCAGCTCTAAGAACTTACTTAAAACACTATTTTTTGTTTCTGGAACAGAAGTATAAAATATATTTTATAAATATAAAATTTATTTAAGAGGAAATAAACAGAAACTAGGTAATTATATGCAAGATCTTTCTAAAGGATAAAAAAAAATTACTAAGTGACTAAGAAGCATAAATGAATTATAAAAAAACACAGCCTGTCACTGAACTTTCTAAATATGAAATAAATATCTTTTGCATACAGAAGAATTAAAAAACTCTACAGTGGAATAAAGGTGGAGAAGACCCAGTGACATTAAAATCTGTTCCTTAAGTTTGAATCTCAGTTTCCTTTGATGCCACCTCACTCCCCAGGCACAGAGACAGAGCTGGCTGACACAGCCCTGGAGCTGCTCCTCCTGCTGCTAATGGAACAGTGGCGGTGGCTATGTACAGAGAACATGCAGAAAGTTCTTCGTCTTCTCTTCGGGACCCTAATTCAGAGGTAAGGCTGCTGAACTCTCCTTCATATTAGAGTCTCAAATTGGACAGAAACTGAATGTAATGCTGAATTTTGCACTAGAAATTGTAGATTCCAGGGAATCTGTGGCCATGGGGAAAAAGAGTCTCTGTAACAGGGGTCCAAGGATGAGGTCTAGCTGGAGACACACAGTTTTCATTACTCATCTGCTGTCTGAAGTTTGAGTAGGTCTACTTCTTTAAGACTTCTAGCAGAGCCCTGAATTACAGATACTACCTCTGATCTTAAAAGTCTTTAGCTGAACTCTTCTAAAGCTAGGATCAATTCACTGTCCGGATATATCCACAACCTCTGACCTTTCACCTTGTCACAGTGCACATTTCTCTTTAACTGACAATACGTAATTACTATGACAGTAAATAGTGAAAAAGACAAGAAAATTCATGTGTCCTCAAAGATTATTTTCTATGAAAGGTAAAAGTATTCACAACTAAAAGGGTACTTGCTGACACTCGGGTTTATATGGAATGGAAGTATATCTAGATTTAATATGGACATTATATCCAAGGATACTATGATTTTTCTACCTCCAGAATTATTATTGCCAAGAAAATAAGTTAATGTCTTCTACTTCCAGCTTTGTTTACTCTTCTTTGCTCACTTACAAGACTATATACATAATCTTGGATGCCAGGGACTTCTGCCAAGTCATAAGCGCGTACTCTCTTGTTCTCTTGCTCTCTCTCTAGCCGGCAAGAAAAAAAGGAGAGTAAATTCAACCTCGTGACCCCTCCTTCTAAGCCAGGGTTGGGAAGGTTATGATCTCAGCCAAGCTGTATAAATCTTCCTTGATTGTTGATGGTGTAGATGCAGTGAGGGAGGGCAGCTGAAGAGCAGTTAGATACCCAAAAAAGGCATTGTTAAGTCAAAGGGGCGTCTGGCATGCATAGTGACTGACTGCGTATGTCAGCCTCCGTGCTGGGAACATCCAGTTATGAAAGCAGCATTCCTTGTTTAGAATTAGAGACATAGAAAGGGAAGAAGGTGGGGGTAGCAGTATAAAGCCAGGACTGAAACCAGCTTGTGCAAAATGCACAAAAATCATCCCTGGCTGCATCAGAATCAAGTTAATGATAGTCTAGTTGGAGGGAAAGAGGAGACAACTCCTCTGCTTCATTGATGATAGAAGGTTTGGGGCAGGAAGAGCTAGCCGAGGTGAGGGTGATGTTATTACGGAGGCCTGGTCTAGAGTGGAGGAATGAGAAGAAGCTGGACCGGTTCCCTGCCTGCAAGCCCAGAGCAATGCCATGATAAAAATATGAGCCAGGCTAGCAGTAGAGTATGTGAATACCTCATGTGGGGCTCTGCCCTCCCCATGACCCCAAAGATGGCATCAGACTCCATGTCAGAAAGAGTAGCAGGCATATTCCTGGCATCTGTGTATGAATGTCTTAGTTGGGGGGTTAGGGAAGGTCACACGGGAATAGTGTAGCAAAAAGAGTAAGTAAAAAAAGGAGAAAGCTCTGTGGTCTGTGGGCAGTGAAGAATATGTGAGGTGAGAAGTATATGAGGAAGAGGAGAATATGTCAGGCTTAAGGAGCCCAACCATTGGTGGGCCCAGCAGGAAATTAAATGTTTAACTCTAGACCTTATGCCAGGTTGTATTATCATTTTCCTAGAAAAGAGGTATCTTCAACTTTCAGGAAAGGTTGGGAAGTTTGAGGGTGGACCATGGGACCATGCAGAGTTGCGCTGTCGGTGGGAATGCTTACCCCCATTAGTGACAGTTAGGGTGGATGACGTGAGTTCTGTGGTCTCCACTGCATAGGTGGCTCCCGAACTTTAGATGTTCTCCCTGTGACTCTCAGATTAGCAGCTGTGTACTTTATACTAATGAACAAAGTAATTCTATGAGACAAACATGCATTCCACATTTTACAGGTGAGGAACATGACATTCAGATGAAATAATCTCTCCAAATTATTTAAGTATAAATGTCACACCCCCGATTCCACTTTTATTATCCTGACCTCAAAGTTCATGCCCTTTCTAGTACTCCATACTGCTGTACCGTGCAGGCCTTCTGCACAGCAGTGGAGACTTTCATCTGGAAGTCCTGTGCCTTGCCCCCATCTAATGCCTCTTCCTTTCCATCTCACTGGACCCAGGACACATGCATACGATGTTAGCATATAAAGCGCATTTCTTTCTGATTTTATGCTTAAAGCACTCCTGGAACAGATATTGTATTGTCTTCCTTAGCTATTTCTATTCTATATTCTGTTCCCAATTAGAATATTTTCAGAGTTAAGATTCAGTTTCTCAGAAAACACAGATAAGCAGTTTTTATTCCTTTGCTCCTATACTTTTAGTTCTGTTCTGGTGTCTTAACACCTGATCTTTTTGTCTTCCCAGCATCCGTACAAAAATACATGTTTATAAGATCCCCACATACAAAGTTTTCTCAAACTAGGTCTGATTTTTCCTGTCAGGTTATCTCCTGGCCCTTTAATTAACTTTAGAGGCGCTGAAATTAATTTTTGTGGCAATGGCTTTATTCAGGCTGTATGGCACTTACTTGGAGGTAAGGAATGCCTCTTTCACCTTGACAAGGGGAGGCTCTTGACTTCAGCAAGCCAGGCCAGCATTGGCCCTGACAGTCTCTCCTACTTCATAGGTGTCATTTATTATACCCCCATCTTAGGATCAAGACGTCATACCTTTCCTATCATCAGCTGATAGTTTGTCCTTGAATAATGAAGGAATGTCACCTGCCATGGCAATTCAGCCAGTCCCTGTGCTTACCACTGCCGAGAATCTCGGGACACTCAGCAGTTCTAGGGGGCCAGAGACATAAATGTAAACTAAGTGTATCTTACATTCCTCCAACTGCTCTTTAATAGGACACACACCAGTTTCCAAAGCCATGTTAGACCGGAGCAACCAGACTTCTCCTTTGGACTCTTCAGTCCCCCGTCTAGTGGCGCTCTCCTGCAGAGTCCTGCACGCTTGTTCTCCCTGGAATCACTTTTCAGCCTCTTTCCTTGCACACAAGGAAATAAGAATATGGACCTTGAAGTTAGCTCTGAATTCAAATCCTGTTCCAGGCTACCTGTGTGACAAGTCGCTTAACCTCTCTTTGCCTCAGTCCCTCTCCAAATGAGAGTAACAGTGGAGAATAAGTGAAAATTTCGTAAAGCGTGCCTGACACATGGTAGCACTCAATAAATGTGAGTTCTCCACCTTTACAAGGCTGCGTCTTTACACATTTACACATTCCATTTCCTTGGGAACTTTATTTGCTAGATAAGAAACGCATCTGTCTGATGTCGTGTAGATAAATATGGCAGGTCTGTATTATAGCGAGCTTGCTTGGTGATCTGTTATAGCAAAGACTGTTCTGCATTGTTCAAATAGAACCTCCTCCTTTAGACTGTCTACCCACACACCATTCTACCCATTCGCTCGAGGTCAAGAATCATGTCATGGTGGGGCACACTCTGAGCAACGCATCGTCAGGTGGTTTGGTCACTGAAAGAATGTCAGGGGGCGCAATCACACAAATCCTGTGGTGTCTACCAGGCCCTGACTGTGGGACAGCCTGCTGGGGCCACCATCCTCTGTGGCCATAAAAACAACCATAAACAGTTAAAAAATAAATAAATAAAAGATTCTTGGGGTGGCAAATGTCAGATAGACTTTATAGAAGAAAGTATTAAAACCAGACCTTTTAAGACAGGTATAATTTAGACTGATTCAGGGTAAAGAATATTAAAGGCATTGAAACAGTTTTAAAGTGGAGAGGAGAATCTTTAATTTCTATTTTCATGAAAAAAGGAATCTTTTAGAATTTTTCAGTATTTTCAACCAGCTCCTTTTGGATTGTGTGTGTATAGTCATTAGAGAAGGAGCCTTTTGTGTGTTACATTATGGAAAGCCCACTAGCCTATCCGCCACTTGAAAAGGTTAGGACAGTTATTTTCCCTCTGGGCACCAGGAGGCGCTGTAGATTAACCAATACCCGTTCACCTTTGAGAGAAGAAACTTATCTTGCAAATTATAGGCCCTTGTCTTGCTAGTGATTGTAACCAAAACCATTCTCTGCTTTGCTCTGTGATTCAGAGGCTGCTGAACTTTCCTCATCTTAGTGTTACTATCTTTTAGACAAGCCTGGTTTCTTTCATCTGTCACTCTTCTCTGTTCTGATCCGTCTTCAGGGTACACCTGCTGCTCTGAGCTGTGTATATTGCCAGATTCCCCTCCTCAGAGATCCAGTGCTGGAGATGGTTTGTTGAAAACCATTTTGATTCAGGAAGCCGGTGTGAATGAGCGGGCCCACAGTGATAACCAAAGGATATTTAGAGTTGAGAACTTTTGTCAGACTATAGGCTAGGGCCTTTTTACATACCTAAGTTTTGGAAAACATTTCAGTAAAGTAGAGGTTGTCAGTGCTAGACTGTACTGATACTGGGAATCTTATCAATAAATTATATAATCAAGAGCATTCCTATTGCTTTTAGCCCTGAATGGAGATCATTGGCTCCTACTTGATTGATTTTGGAGATATAACAATATGTTAATGCCCTCAGTTTTGATTTTACCTCTGTTTTTAGATACTTGGTATCACCAAGTGTGTGGAGTAACCCTATAACATTAGTACGGAAGCAGGGAAGGATTAGGGATGAATTGGTAAGAAAAATACTTTAGTCTGGAGGTTTCCTGGGGGAGATTTTAGCTCTCCCCCAGTAAATCTGTGACCTTTCTGAACATAGTGTGTTTGCTATGTAAATAAGTCCCTCAACCACCTCTTCTTTCCCCTTTTCTAACCATAGGTGGTGCCCCCAAAGTTGCTCAATGTAGAGATTCTGGGGTTGTCACTGCACGTCCCGTACCCTTGGTCTCCGGATAAGTAGCCTTCTACTTTGAAAGGCTTTTAAATTCAGCTTTGAACAGGAAATGGGAAACAATTACCTTCTGCTAGGTCTTCTGCCCAAAGGTGATTTTGTCGATTATAGTCACTTTTC